TCAGATTTCCCAGTCAGTGTTACTGGTTTACCTTTCAGACTGACTCCAGTCCACAATGGAGGAAGACCAGGACAGACCAGAGTCTCCAGGACCCAGCTGTCCCTCCATGAAGAGTGACTGGTCCAGATTTGACCCTCCAGATTTCAGTTGTGGACCTGGACCCTCGGACACAAAGTAAGAGACCTGCTACAAACCTGTGAACCCCAAACTGTCGCCTCTAACAGGATTTAGTGTGTTGACGTTAACAGCTGCTGTGGGCAGAAAATAAATCGTCCGTGGTTCTTCTAGCATCGTCTGTGATCTGAACACCAAACATTTTAATGTGGTTTACATGCTGCATGTTGCTGCGGCCGATCACCGTGAAGACATGAAATGCTGGTCAGTAACTAAAGGCCACGGTGGAGGAGGAAGCAGCCCCAGAAGAAGGGAGCAGTGTTTCAGTGAGGCTTGATAACGATGGTTACGTACAGTAACCCAAGCTTCTATGAGTATAGGCTTCGCCCTCTAAGAGCTGTCGCTATTGGGTTCATCCCTCGCGCATGCGCAGTCCTGATGAGATTCTTTCACGCCCTGTGCCCTGCACTGGGCTGTCCTCAATTAGGTCCGCATCAGCAGTAAAACTGCCACTGTGACCTAAGTTCGCCTCCCCAAAAAAAGCCAGCACTTTTTCTTCAGCTGGCAGGGGTGGGGACAGCAGGGCCACCAGCTTAGAGGGCTACGCCTATACTCATAGAAGCTTGGGTTACTGTACGTAACCATCGTTCTATTTCGTATAGGCTTCGCCCTCTAAGAGCTGTCGCTATTGGGATAAAGTGCAGCTGGATGTAGTCAATGCCCTGTTGGTACACCGCCACCCAAGAGCATTAGAAAAACATACACCACAGCTCGCTAAGTACCCCACGACAGTAGCCAAGCAGCCACGGGGGAGTGCAGGGGCTGGATAGCATGTTGGATCATGAGACATACATGCCTCAGCCACGCACGGCAAAAAGCAGGCGCCTGTGGGTGCATCACAGTAGTGATGACCACGGAGGCACAGGTGCAATGAGGAGCGCATGGGGTGTGTGTGAATGAGGCAGAGCACACATTTCACCAGTGCGCAGCGCGTGGCAAAAAGAACGAACACCCGTGGGCGCATCTCAGAAAAGATGGCCATTGGGGCGCATGGAGTGTATGTGTGTGTCAGTGTAGCAGGGCACACACTGCACCAGCGCACAGCGATCATACCGGTTGGATTTGGCTGTTCATTTTGCCCCCTGAGCGAGTGACCCAGGGTCAGCGCTCAGCAGTGGTGGCGCATTCACGTGACACAACGGGGAAGGGGTTCACTGTCGCGCGCAACAAGAAGCCCAGGAGGCTGCCATGCAGATATCCTCCACAGCCATGCCTCTAAGTAAGGCAGTGGAGGACGCGATGGCTCGCGCAGAATGGGCTCTGATGTCATGTGGGGGTCGCTCCTGGCCAACATGTAAGCCTATGTAATAGCTTCACACAGCCAGTGAGACAGCCATTGTTTTGTTAAAGGCTGCCCAAGAGAGCGGCTCCTGTAATGCACAAACAGCTGCTGTGTCTGCCTGACAGCTGCCGTGCGCCCCACGTAATGGGACAAAGCGTGCACTGGGCAGAGCACGTGGAGGTTCCTCTCTGCCTCGTCTCCGTGAGGAGGAGGGAAGAACCCATCCACAGAAATAACTCTGGATCGGTATAAGGATGAGATCATTTTAGGTGCATATGTGGGGTTCAGTCTGAGAATGGCTGCGCTACCGTCTCCGTGGATAAGGAGGCACACCGGTGAGACAGACAGTGCACACACATCGCCCACGCGCTTAGCCGAAGTCAAGGCTAGGAGGAGCGCTGTTTTCAGGGAGAGGTGTTTGAGAGAGATGTGTGCCATGGGCTCAAAAGGAGGCCCGCTGAGTGCGCGTAAAACCAGAGGCAGATTCCACTGTGGCACCGTTGTGCGCAACACAGGTCTCAGTCTGCCCACACCCCTGAGAAAGCGTTTTACCAGTGGGTGTGCAAATACAGTTCTCTCACCAAAACCATCATGGCATGATGAGATGGCGGCGGCATACGCTTTAACGGTAGACAGAGCCAGGTTTCTTTCAACCAGCATCTGTAGAAACATCAGCACTTCGGCCACCGGGCAGGAGGTGGGAGCTGTGCCTTTCTCCATGCACCATCGCTGAAAAGCCGACCACTTTACAGTGTAAGACGCCATTGTTGACTGAGCTCTGGCGTACTGAATAGTGCGCACCACCGCTGGAGGCAATCCTATGCTCTCCAGTCGTTCCTGTTCAGGGGCCAGGCCCACAGCCGCTGACCTATCACGGGGAACTGCTGGATCACGCCATCCAGCTGAGAGAGTGCGTCTCCCTGCCAGGGGAGTTGCCAGGGCTCTCCCGCCAGCAACTGAACCATGGTCGGAAACCAAGCTGCGCTCGTGCGCTCCGGAGCTATCAGGAGGACGCGCAGCCGCTTGTCCTGCATGTGTGCGAGGAGCCGCGGGATAAGTGGGACCGGAGGGAATGCGCAGAGGAGACCCCTCCGCCAGGGGTGTTTTTTTTGGGGCCCTCCCCGTGACATGAGGTCTGCAGTGCAGTTCTGCTTGGCCGGGACGTGCACGGCTCTGATGGAGAGCAGGTTTTGATGAGCCCAGAGTAGGAGTTCCCGTGCAATTTCCAGCAGCTGGACAGAGCGAACACTGCCTTGCCGGTTTATGTATGCGACGGCTGTTGTGCTGTCCGAGCACACCATGACGTGTCTGCCCTTCAGCACCGGTGCGAAGTGTTTCACCACCTTCAGCACCGTAGCTAGTTCCAGGCAGTTGATGTGGAGAGACGGGGTGTGATCCCACCGTCCTTCCACAGCCTGTGACAGACACGTGCCTCCCCAGCCGAGCAGAGATGCGTCTGTGAACACCGAGACGTGTGATGTGGCTCTGCCCAGGGGAACTCCCATCGTCAGCACCCTGGGAGTTCCCCAGTACTCCAAGTCTGATTGGACCAAGGGAGGAACCGTGAGTACGTGCCTTTTGTGGCGCATTGGGTCGAGACGCAGATGGCCGAACCACCTCTGGAGCTTCTTCATATGAAGGAGACCGAGGGGAACTGCGACATGGCTGGCTGACATTGTTCCCAGTAAGTGCATGACAGAGCTGTTACTCTCACGTGGGGAACAACACGGTGCAGGAGAGATGAAAGCATTTCTCACCTGGAGGATGTCAGCCTCGCCTTCATGCTGAGAGAGTCTAAGTGCACTCCCAGGTAAGTAAGCATCTGGGAGGGCACCGGTGAACTCTTCTCCCAATTTATTGCAAATCCCTGTTGTGCCAGGTGCAGCACCAGCATCACTGTGTGATAAGCCGCTTGATGTCTGGAGTATGCCATCAGAATCAGATCGTCTAAATAAAAGAGGACTCTGATTCCTGCTCTGCGTAACGGTTCTAATGCCGCTTCCACGCACTTTGAAAAGGTGCGGGGGGCCAGTGAATAGCCAAAGGGCAGTCTGTTGTACTGGAAATGTGCACCTTGAAAAGAGAAACGCAGGAATTTCCTGTGTTTGGGAATAATAGGCACATGAAAATACGCGTCTCTCAGATCGATGGAAGTAAACCAATTGCCTGGACGCACACACTCCAACACATGTTTCGTGATGAGCATATGAAACGTTCTCTCCATTATATATTTGTTGCAGAGAGACAGATCCAAGAAAGGCTTCGCAGCGGGGGTGCGGGTCGCTGGGCAGGATGAAGCCTGTGTCGCAGCCGGGGCATACGGTGACAGCAAGGCGGCGCCGAGTTCCACTGAAGGAGGAGAGTTGCTCTTTAGCCATAGTTGTTTTCTTACGAGAATGCTCTTTAGAACTGTTGAAGAAAAAGAGGGAGGCGAGCTTAGGTCACAGGGGCAGTTATACTGCTGATGCGGACCTAATTGAGGACAGACCAGTGCAGGGCACAGGGCGTGAAAGAATCTCTTCAGGACTACGCATGCGTGAGGGATGAACCCAATAGCGACAGCTCTTAGAGGGCGAAGCCTATACGAAATATAAGCTGAGTTTCCACCACTCTGCAGGATCGTTTCACAGCCTCAGTGATGAGTTTCCCAAGTCAGGGTTTAACTGTAGACTCTGTGTGAGCAGCAGCAGTTGGACTGTGGGCTAATGAGTCAGGAAACCCAGGGTTCATCAGTCCAGGTGTTCAGAGCAGTAAATAGAACCAGTTGATGCTGAAGGCTGCATCTGGGTCGTTTCTACAGTTTTCTGATTCCCAACAAATCCCATGTGCTGACCCGACACCGAGTGTCTCCTACTAGTAAGTACAGTGTGTGGCCAGTTTCTGCTGTGAACTGACCTGAAGATGATTCAGTGTGATGCAAGGATTCAAGATTTTTATTTGCCATTTATGAATGAACAGTCAGTCTAGGCATATAGGAATTCTTGTTGCAGAGAGACAGATCCAAGAAAAGCTCCTGGAAAAGGCCTTCACGCCTACAGG